TTTTTTTTTTTTTTTTTTTATAAAATGACTATTCAAATAATATGCTACTTTTGTTGTTGTTTTTTTTTTATACTAGTGCGTTCTCCGTTAAAAATTTGTGTAAAGTATGTCAGACTTTGCAGTTGTATGTATGTCTTTGTTGTACCTAAAAAAAAAAAAAATTGTTAATTCAATTTCAAATATGGTAATGATAAAAATCTAAAATATATAGACATATTATATATCTTGTTATCTTTGATTTGATTGATAAAAGTTTATCAACAGGATCAGTGATAACGTTATAAAATTATATATTTATTAGTGTGTATAATTAAATTTTTTATTTACTAAATCTTATATCTATCTGCATATTTTTCAAACCGATAAAGCGAATGATAAAATAATTCATCGTGTTTCGAAATGGATTAATTATACAATCAACTAAAATAATATAAATTGATATTCCGAATGAAATATCGATGACTTTTTTAAAATTAATTAAAAAAGAAAAAAAAAAGGAAAACTTTATAAAAATATTTATATTCACAACTATTATTAAAAATTAAATTAAATTTAATAATTAAAGTAAATTTTTGCGTTGTTGATGAAAGAAAATGAGATAACAAGAATTTAAAAATCATATCTTGAAAGAAATACACATAATAATAACAAAATAAATAAATCATTTTTGCTTTTGAAATATTTATCATCATTTTATTTATCTGATACATTTCTCTTCTAATGTAATAACACGTGCTTTATAATAATTCAAAATAATCTTGAACGTCACTACATTTGCTACATTTCAAAACATTGATAAATTTCGACAATTCTGAACCGAATGATACATTTTATCTCGAGTAATGTTTCCTTAACTTCAAAATATTTACAACATATTCAAACAAAACCAAATAAAATTTTTAGAAAAAGAATCTCCCATATCCATACGACTAAATCAAGCTTCGAATTAACTCATTTCCCGCGATTAAAATTCTTAAGAACATTTTTAATCTCTTAACACGATCTCTCGTGCACCTACACGTGTATTTTAATACGCGTACGTTCGTAAAATCGGAATCTTCGATCCTAAGATTCCTCTTCTAAGGAAGGAAGCGGAGTTTTTAGATTTTTCGTACGATGAACGGTCGATACTCGTCTGGTGTTCGATTTAAATTTTCAATCAGCCTTGAACATTCCTTGATGCACACGAGAAGAGGATTTCTCTCTCTCTCTCTTTCTCTCTCTGTCTTTCTCACGCGAGAGAAACGAGGCTGGAAGCGCCGATAAGATTCATGCATAAAAACGAATCTGGTTTACGAGAATGCTCGTCGTCTAGAACACGATTATTAAAACGTGCCGTGCCGCCAGCTCGTAGACCCCAACGAAGGAAACCTCACGGTTCCCGGCCTTCTTGGAACTTTAAATTAAAACCGCTCTCGTTGTTTTGCGATCGGTAAAGGATCCCGATCGGTGCTGGAGGAGTTGAGAGCGTTCCGGTGTCGTTCGCAATCGGGGGCATAAAGTGTCCGCATAAAGCAAAGTCCGACGTAGACACCGAACCATCCAGGTAAGGACACGCTCGAAAAGGTGCCCCACGTCCTCTCCGAGGAAAATCCTCCTTCCCTTCCCTACGAAAATACGACACTTTTCTTCTACGGGATTTAAATCGTAATCTGCCGAATTTGAACGAGGGTGATAAGTTTGGAACGAGTGAAAAGAGTATGATTAAACGTGTAAGAGGAAGGTAATGCGAATAATAGGGAAAGGTATAGGTACGAGACTGTTCTAGGTTTCGAAAAAAGAATATAAACGAAAGTTG